CCGAGATTATTTTCTTTGAAACGGAGCATCTTTAATATTTCTGTTCTTTTCATCTCTGCAGTTCTGTTTGACACTTTCTGTGGTACAGATTCGTTAAATTTATTCGATAAATCTGACAGACTGTCGACGATTTTTCTTCACCAAACTTTACAAGACGCGATCACCTCTTTCGCCCACTAAACGTTTTGTTCACGGTCTTTCGCTGTTTTCCAGGCAACCCCTTTCAGCATTTCGTCTTACAACCTTCTGTATGGAATTTGGACTTATTCCGACAATCTCCGAAATTTTACGGCTACTTAAACCGGTCTCATTCAATTTAATAGATGAATTGCTTCATCGTCGCAAACCACGGTTTTGAGTCCACAACCTACCTCAAACCTGTGGTTGTTCAGTATTCGCTTTGCTTGTTTCTCTTGAATTGTGCTTAAACCGGGGAAACCAATCAAATTTCATCCGATTAAAAATTTCACTCGGCGCGCCTGAAAATTTCCAACCAATCACTTAACACCTTTCAAATGATATTCGGAGAGCGATAAACAATGGCGAAATTGAACTCGCAGCAAGAGAAAGCTATCGGTAACCGTTTGAAAGAAAAGGTTGTCTTCCTCTCCTTAAGGGCAGGTGGGGGAAATCGCTGTTACATGACCTTTCCTATTTTTATGAACACTGTGAAACTGAAACCAACACTCGGGACATGATGCCACAAGTTATTATTATTAGTCCCTTCGTGTCAATTTTGAAGGAACAAACTGCTTTTCTTAGATCAAAGGGGTTTACAGCTACATATATTGGTAAAGACGCGTCTGAGGATGTTGGGATACTTGAGGGAAAATACCAGTTCATCTTCTCTTCACCAGAAACCATTCTGCAGAATGATAGCGGAATATGTTGTCCTCATCAAATCATTCCGTTTATTTGTTGTGGATGAAGCCCATACTCTTGTTCATTGGTATGTATGTTTTCAAGGACATGCATTCTTCAATATTATATTTGAACAGCTTGGTGTTCAAAAAGTAAACAGGTCCAGTACCATCAGTACATTTAGCTTCATAGCTAAAATTACCTACCGTAGCTTTATTTACCTACGTCAGGTAGCTTTATTTAGCTATTTTAAGGCAATTTTTCACAATTTTGCTTCTTATTTTAAACAGACAAAAAAATCGCAAATAAATGACTACTAATATAAAATATTTGGAGATTAGAACAGTATTCAAGCTCAAAATTCCATTAAACAATACAAAATAGAACTGTGCAAAAGTGTCAAATTCCCCCCGCTGGGTTTTTCAGAGAAGGTACCAAATCACTAATGTTTTCTAGATGTGAGAGGTGTTCACAATTTGTTTAAACATTTAGAGTGAAAATTTAATTACTCATTATATTTTTTAATGAATGAAACTAAGGTGCAGCCTAATATAACATCAATAATAAAAATTAGTGTTTTTTTATTACATTGAAAAAAAGTTTGCAACTATCTGTCATCTTTATGAGACAAAACACTCTGCAAATTGATTGTTGAAAAAAAAAATATAATTAATTATACAAAATCAAATAATACAAAATCAAATTGATCTTAATACCTTTATATCAAAATCATTTTAAAATAATAAAGTACCCCGCCAAAGCATGATACGGCCGTGAAATATTGTTCAATACGTTTTCTTTCCACCATGGAAGAGTTATAGTTTTTAGTGCGCAGGGAAAAGGCAGGGAACAATATCTACACTAACCCTTACGAAGTACCCCTTCGATTGGGCGAATTTCAAGACGTGAGGATCTATATAAGGGACTCTTCTAATCAAACAGCTTCATTTTTAAAAGGTGGTGTAACCGTTACCCTCCTCTTGAGGAAACGCTTGTTTGAAATACAATGATGGGTTCTACCTACGTTTCAGATCCCAGGGTCTGGAAATCGTTTTACAGAAACATGATGGATGGTCAGTTTCGATCTGGAAAATATAGGGGTCGTCAAACGGGAGGCGGAATAGGGGGAATGTTTTCCAAGAAACCTTACATGATTCCCGTCAACCCCCACTCAACGGAATCACCCGACAAAAAGGTCGCGGGGAAACACGTGACTCCCATGGCTGCCGTGGAAGAAAGAGCGAAATCGGAATTAAAAGAGGCCATCAAGGAAATAATTCCTCACGTGTCAGAAAAGACTATTAAAACCGACAGACGCCAGAAAAGAATCAAACCTAAATCAACTGTCAAGGCGACAACATCTAAGAGTGTAAAGAAAAAGAAACTTGAGGAAGAAGATTGGGAAGGTACTATATTCAAGAAACTGAAAAAATAAGGATGGCTTTTTTAAATGACAAGATCACCGACATCGGCCTTCCAGCAGAATTAACCTTATTTACAATTCTTTTGGAATGTTCTGATTTTCGCCTATACGAAAGAGACTTTTTAATAATGTGCGAACAATGCATGACCTTTTTACAAACATTAATCCTTGTACAATTATACAATACTTACAAGAAACTGATTTTTACAACAAGATTTAATGTACATATTTTTTATTAGTATTTTTGTAATTTTCAATTTTACTTTTCATTTTATTTTTAAATTTGGTTGTAATGACATTTATTACACAAAACAAGACAGTTAACAAATACACAAATATACACAGATAACGAGCGCACACAGCAGCAAGTTATTATGTATGTGAGGCGCACACAGCAGCCCCAGACCGCACACAGCACGTCGAAATAGTTCACAGTGGTTACCCGTAGGTTCTTACACAGAATGGCGTCTTCTTCTAATACTACACAAAAAGGCGTGACGTCATACGCACACATACACATGAGGTTCAACACGGGAATACATACACGGGCTCAGCACAGGATACATATAACGAATTGTACTACATTCCCCCCTGTTCCAAAGAACTGATCCTATCCGGGACCTGAAATAAAAACAAATAATGCGGCAAGTCACCGCATTGCAAGAAATATGTGATATACAATAAACATGAAGCAATATGAATTAAATACGATAAAGGGACTTCAGGTTATGGAGGGTTTTTCCCAGAACGTCAAACACTGTTGTCTTCTTTAGCTCTGCAATTCTTTTCGCAACTGGCAAAAGGGTCCATGGAGTATTGATATTCATACGTAACAATAATAAAAAATATGCTTAAGGAAGAACAGTTTTTACAGTGATAAATATGACATGTAAATTTGGCACAAGGTAAGAAATTTAGTATATTGTATAAACTGAAAACACTATTTTTATAGGCACTATAAACAGTTAGTGTTTGGCATGAAAGATCATTTGTACATTTGGCACAGGATTACAGTATTCTTTAATGCTCAATCTGGAAGTCTCTGAATAGAGGCACAATATTTGAGTGATTGGTATGACTTGATGGATTTGATAAATTTATCAAAGGATAATGATAAAAATATGAAGAATGAATGGAAACTGAAATTTAAGTACAATTAGATTTCACAAATTTAAAAAAAGCTGAGTGCAAGGAATTTTTACAAAATGCATCATCAAGCATGTAGAATTTTTTGGAGTGTATTGTATTAAAGAGGGATAAGGTTATCAGACAAGCAATGTTGACACCGCAAAAAAAGGTTAAAGAAACTCCAAAACAATTCATCGAATTATGTAGTATCTCCTTTCAGTGGAGCTTGAAATTTCACATCAATACTGCATTTGACATTCAATAAGACTGTCTAATTAACAATGAAGAAGTTTAAACTTAACCCTCCGTAATCAAAAGATAAATCTACTTCTAAATCACATCACAAGAATATTTACAAATTCAATGTTACAAGTATATTCCATGCAACATATTAATACTTCAGCAATGATTTAAAAAAAAAAAACAAAAAAAACAAAAAGGGGGACTGCAGTCAATACTGCATTTGACATTTAATAAAACTGTCTAATTAAAAATGAAAAAGTTTTAACTTAACTGGCCTTTATCAAAAGATAAATCTACTTCTGTATCACAAGAATATTTACAAATTCAATGTTAAAGTATATTCCGTGCATCATATTAAAACATCTGCAATATTTCTAAAAAAAAAAAAAAGGGGGGGGGGAGGGGGCTGCAGTCAAACACAATTTTCAGAAAGAAGGGAAGCTGCAGACAAAGGCAAGTTTATATTTCAGAAATAAAAATACCATACAAATTAATTCAAATATCCGTCAAAATTTCAACTGTCCTGTGTCAGAAAAATTTAAAAGAAAATAAATATTGATAACAGATACTAAAACCTACAATTTCATTAAAATCAATCTCTACCTCAAGAAAACATTTACAAAACAATATTAAATATACATTCAATGTTACTTTCACTGTATTTCAAATTGAACAATTATAAAATTGCCCTTAGATAAAAGGGAGAAAAGTTCCAATTTATCCAATCACAAAAAAAAAAAAAAAATAAAATTCTGCAAAACCAGACTACTTAAGGGCCTGAGAAACAGATTAAAATAAATATTCAAAACCTTTCAACTTCATGAGGACTAAATACACTCAAATTTCAGTTCTCTCATGATTGTCTATATTCAGAAGTTCTGTACCCCACAAAATTAAACAGAAAATGATCAAAACATTAAAACTGTTAAAACTATAGAATTCATGTTCTTCACTGCATGAAGTTTACTTTGAAGGCAAATTTGACATTGAAAAACATAATTTCATCCATTTCTATAATGATCCCTTAAATTTAACTACCAAGTATCTACAAATATCAATCAATAATATTTCACTACTAAGATTCTATTTCTATTACCCTCTACATCATGACAAGTATATACAAAAGCAATATTACTGTAAAAAAGAAACATTGCACATTTCAAAAAATCTCTAGAGATTCAAAAGGTATCAAAAAATTTGCTGAAAATGGCAAGATCTTGGAGGTAAAATGAAGTTGAACTCAAAACATAAAAAGAAGAATATGAAAAAAAAATAAACAAACAAAACTTTGCAAAATTCTGAATCATTTTACAGTACATCCCTGAATCACAAATTCAACATGACATTACTGAGGCTGAATCTGGATCACTTTGACCTCTTTTTCTTTGATAATTATTTCTGCTTTAAGTGGCAGTTTTGACAACAAGCGAACTTCCACTTCTTTTGGCTGACATTGAAGAGCTTTCGCAAGAAGGCTAGTCTTGATCAGAAATTCGGGATAATCTCCATCATCCAGATCTCCTGTTAGGGAAAAGAATCCATTATCTTCCACCTCAAAGACTACAAATGCGACTCTCTTCTTCACATCTGGGGCAGTAATTGGCTACAATAATGAAGTATGAAAAGTGTACACCAATCATTGGTGACCAATGAGAGTATATTTAATCCGGTGCGAAATATATATAAATATGTATTTTTAAGTAATCAATATTTTTGGTCAAGTAAACAGCAATATAAAAGACAACGAAAAATTTACTAAACATGTTGCACATAGAAGTTATCCTTACCAGCAACTTGGTCCTTGATGTGGTGGACACTGACTTTTCGTCATTGTACACCTGCACAATGACATCCGTAATTTCAAAATGACTCCCCACTGCTGTTTTCCTTTTGCTTAGGTCTTTCCAAAGGGATACTTTGCAGGAAGCTGTGTCGTCTTTGATTTTAAAACTTCTTACAGATATGTCTTCTCCACTCAATCTGACAGTCCTTTCCATTTCCTCCTGCAAGAAAAGAAATCTTATTTGGATGATATATATATATATATATATATATATATATATATATATATATATATATATATATATATGTAAAAGCTTAATTGAATAAACAATAAGCTTGACATATTTAATTATTGTAATCTCTACTCAAATTAACAGAAAGACTATAACGGCGTTGGTAATCTAATCAGAACACCATATATAATGTATTTGATTTTTAATGATTTTGGGGGTAAAAAAAAGAAAAGAAACAGAAACCCATGGTAAATGCCTTGAGTATCAAATACATAATTGTTTTTAGACCAGATAGCATGCAAGTTCATCCTGCATTGTCTCTAAATCAGAACTATATAAGTGAAACCAGCAATGCTTAATTTACAATGTTTATTCAATAAATAATTGTATAGGTAATTCCAAAGGAGAGAAGAGGGATTTAGGTATGCATTATAATCCATTCACAGCACTCAACAATCATTTAATTAAAATCATTAAGGAAACCCAGGATAACAGTAATGATATGGTGTTTAATTTACAGAGCAATTAACATCTGGAAAACTGACAAATTACCTTTCCGATATCAGTCTGGGGAATCTAAATTATCTTAGAATATCTTAAATAGAAAGATCAAATTCTAATATTTCAGAAATACTGATTTATATTTTTACAATTAATTTTTCAGGAATTTTTGTTCAGTTTAGGCAAATTTTAATTTTTTGCAATTTACCAATTACAGATTTTAAACCTATTACAATTATTCCAACCAAGAAACCGGTTAACTGATTATAAATTAATATTCAATGTAATATATGTATTTGGAAATGGATTTTATTTTATGAGTGGACAGGATTTTTTTATACAAGTATGAAGCAAGAGTGAATTTGTTTTAAACTCTTCATCATATTGTGTGAGACATGATGTTCTGCAATTTGCTTGTTGATATTACCAAAAAATGAAATAAAAATACCATATTACATGTATATAATATCAAATAAGTCTTGATAAATTAATAAATATTAACGAGGTTCGCTCCTGAGCTTTTGAGCAGATTCTTATCTTAACCTATATTTAAAAAATTCTGCATAATGTTTTAATTCTTACAATAAATTTGGATTCTACAAGGCCAATTTAACTATATTCAGTTAAAACTCCATGATTAAATTCCATACCAAAAGCATTAAGTAAGGAACTATATTTTGTGGCGGAAGGTTTTTTAGAAGAAAATGATAATTTTTTCTCTTTCGAAGTATTTAAAGTATGTTAAGTTTGGATTCCTATTTTTACATGCAGTCTGCACACATAGTTATTTTATGCAGTGGACTGTTTTATACTGGTCCTAAATTATTTATTAAATAAACTGTCATGAATTCTATCATCATATTTGATAAATTTAGCAAATATATTGTGGAAATGAAGAAAAAATAGCCCTAATTTAAGCTTAAAATTAGCACTATTTTAGTAATATCTAAAAATTAACATCACAGACACCCACTTTTAATTTCCTTTTCTGAATATATACGATACTTTTAACCATTCTTCTTTAAATTCAGTAAAATATCATTACTTTCAAATGATTTTTTTGCTTGTTAAATTTTAATGCCAGAAAAATGAAAATGTTTGAGTGCAAAAAGGTTAAATAATTGAACATGCGGAGTAATTCGAAAATTTCTTCGTTGTTACAAATTTTAATGTGTCTATTTAAGATGAAATAAGACTGTGTTTGTTCACCATAATTTATTTGAACAAAAAATATTGAAGGAAAAACTTTAAAAATTGATTTATGTGTAAGACGTATTTACAGTGCAAAAAGGTCAAACTAAATGCTCTGTAGCGCCAAAAGAAGCGCATTGACCCCCATTTTTTGTTTTGATTTTTAATAAAGCTATGTGTATAAATTCTAAAAATATACTTGATAAAAAATTCTCATTACTTTTGATGGCAGGATCCAACCTCCTTAAAACAATTTTGAAAATAAAAGGCTGTGTATCAAATGACATTTACCATAAATATCAATTAAGAAAGGGGCCAGTTCTTTTGCCAAGTTCCCAAAGGATATTGATAACACCACCTGCTTGATCAGAGATGTTCTAACAGAAATAATCAATCAATCTTTAACTGTATGCATCTCTCTATCTCTCTCTATATATATGTATATATATATATATATATATCAATCTTCTTCAACTACGACATCACTTAATTCTTTAGATGTTAACCAGCTTTCAATGACCAAGTACAATATTTAATTAATTTAAAATTTCTGAACAAAACTAATTTTGATAATAAAAGGTAGACATTTAGAACTATGTATTCTAATTTAACAGCTAAAAGCTATCAATTTCAATTAAGAGGCCAAACCTCTAATTCCTTAGCCATATTCCCAAGAGATTTGGATAAAACTTGCTTGATCAGAGATGTTGGAACAGAAATGCTAAGACAATCTCTAAAGGATTGAAATTACTTCTTTGATGTTTCAGACATCCAGATTCTTTCAAAACTATATTTCAAAATAAAAAAATGATCATGTTGAAATGATGATAATTTACCCACATATATAAACAGATATCATTGAGCAAAAAGAGAGAAAAAAAATTAAACCATCAAAGAAATAAATTAATACAGTCATTCGTATATAAATGAAAAGAAATTTAGTTATTTGATTATCTAATTTATTGAAAGTAAATATACACAATTACAAAAATATTGATCAAAGTGTTTATGAAGTAAAGGTTGACTTTTCTGAATTAACTATTATGAAAATATATTTTTCAATCTAACATTTGTATCTTTGATAAAACAAAAAAAGAGTATTTATATAGGTATCTTGACTAATTACAATATCTTAAAATAATTTTCTCCAAAACAACAGATATATATAATACAAGTTCATATTATATTTCTAAGCTTACATCAATTGAAAGTATCTATAAGGCAACTAATATTTGTTTTTCAATATAACTTTTCACAAGTTAAAGATCCATATTCTGAGTGGGAGGAATTGCATCCTGACTGGACGGAAACTCCTGACTTTCCTCTGCAATTTCAAATGGCTCACTGTAAGAGGATAAGTCTAACTGCATCCCTTCTATCTTCTACCGGTATATGGTGACGTCTCTATATGAGTGAAAAATTCTCGAATGGGACGTAAAACAATATACAATCAATCAATCTATCTTCTTTTTCAAGGTCTCATTTTCTTTTTTCACAAAGTCATAGTTCTTCTTCATATGATATTTAGCCTTACAGAGGTCTGCAACTCTTCTCCTCAGAATTGACTATTCTTTTTCCATGGCCTCTGCTATTCGTTCGGTCTCCTCAGTAACCTGAAGTGAATCTTTTAGGGCTGCATCTTTGCTGTAAGTCCCAACACCTGCTTGAAGTCGTGCAAAAATACCACTAATTTTGAGTGTAGCTGACTTTATACTTTTAGCATCCATTTTGACTCCTGAGAAGAGAAAATTAACATTATTAGGCCTTATACAGTTCCTGTTACCAACCATATGTAATCTTCTAGTAATCCTTTCATGTTAATTTATCATCATTTGTATTGAATTCTTCCATAAATTCTTATTAAAAAGGCCAGTAAATTTATTACTTTACTGTCAACTTAGTTAAGTCATTTTTTCAAAGTTAAAGTTAAAACTTTTATCTTTGGCTTTTGTAAAATATTCTATATGCAAAAGTAGTAATAGTTAACTAAGAACTATGCAACATCTCACCTGCAGTTTCTTGTTCTATATAATCCTACAGGTCTACAGCAGATATGCTTCGTCTTCAATATGCAGTCACAGAATAGGATACCACGGTGTATTGTTTAAGTTTATAATAGTTTCTTTGTCAAATCATATAGATCCCAAAGCATATAAATATCATAGAGCTTGACCATACTGATCTCCTAACACTCTTTCAAGTTTGATACATAAATACTTTGATAACATCTTAATTGACATGCCTCAGCTGGAGAACTGGGAATGAAGTAGCTCTATTTGTTGTGTGATAATAATTTGTCAATATCCTAGAAAAGTACCAACTTTCTTCAATGACAACTAATGTTTGTAAATCTTAACTTTATGAAGTCACTAATTTTATCAGATTTTACAAAAGAACCAACTTGCTTCAATGAAAATTAATGCACCTTTATAATGTCAACATGAAGAGATATTACCCTGGCATATGAATTATTTATAAATAATTCAAACAAAACAGAAACAAAATTAAAAGACATCATAAGCACAGCATATATATGACATATGAGCCCTGTATGGAGTTGTGTGTAACTACCACCCATGAACATTCATTTATATACCTACAAATAGGGTACTGCTTTCACAAAAAAAAACTGCTAAATAAAATTATTCTCTAATTCTCATAAAATTCCAAAAATAAAATAATTTTAGTTTCAAGAATACAATGTATACAATTCTAGTTTCATCCTCTTATACCACACGTCAACTTTTAATTCACTTGTTTTTTTAAACTCATAAATTATAACTTATCAATTATTATTAAAGTAAATTATATGTTTTACTCACCATGTCATAGTTACTTTATCCTCTTCTTTTTCATTTTTTTTTTCTTTTTGCTCTTCTAAACACTTCTTTGCATTATTTCAACATTGTCCAAGTGTGTGTAAATAACAGGTGTGAAAATCTTCGAGCAACTTTCTTCATCAAGGAGTCATCATCAAACCATTAGGGAATCATGATCTTTCCTCTCCAAAAGTTTAACATTATTAATTGATCCTATGGGTATCTTGAACATTAATATACAGTATTGACAGAGAAAAAAAAATTACATAAAAAATGCAAGATTATTCTTGTTGTTGCTTATTAGAGAAATTATTAATCAATCTATCTTTTTATATGGATATTAAGACTGCCTATATCACATACCAGATTTACACTTATATTCTCCTTCTAGAACATGAAGATATGTATTTACTTGGATCTACATAAAGTATTTTGCAATGATGAGCAATTCTTTTTTTTGGTATGTTTTAA